GAGCTAGAAATGAAAGGAATTCACCTAAACCTGAAAGTATTGCAGGTAGAGTCAGATGACAAGTCCTTGGGTAGGCCCAGCCTCAAGAGGCCTATAAAGTTCATTCTGAGATTCCTTATAAAAACTTTCAACAGGGGCTAGTCTGGTGGTGTAGTGGCTATGTTAGCATGCTCCGCTTCAGTGGCCCAGGGTTCACCAGTTTGGATCCTGGGTGTGGACCTATTCAACACTCATCAAGCCACGCTGAGGCGGCATACAACATAGACCAACTAGAAGGACGTACAACTATGACATACATCTACTGGGGCTTTGGGGAGAAAAAAGGAAAAAAGGAGGAAGACTGGCAACAGATGTTAGCTCAGGGCCAATCTTCTTCAAAAAAAGGGGATTTTCTTCCAATAAAGAACAGTTTGGAAGTATCAATTAATAGTTTAAAAAAAAAAATTTCCAGCAAAGCAGATTTAAGAGCCTATAGGATCAATTGCTATTCTTGCTGTACTTATATAAGTAAGTGGGCCAAGTTTATTGAAACTAAACTTATTTTGCAAACCAATGAATCTTAACTTGGCTTTCTTTGGTAAAAATGAGGGTGATTTTAGAGAGAAAAATTCTTTCCATAGACTACAATACGCATTTGTGGATGTTGGATTCTGGTTCTGTTAATTGTCTTTGAGGTTTTTGTTTTCTATCTGTAAACTGGACTGGATCCTGAATTCTAGTTTCCTCAAATATCTGGTATAGATCTCTAAATTAACGTTTTCAATTTTTTTCTGTCCTTTTCACTTGAAATCATTGAGAACTAAAATCACCCTTTTTCCTGAAGCCCCGCAAACTGAAGGTGGAAACAACATAAATCTAAGAGAGAAAACCAATACAGCCCATGCTTGGACCATCTTCATGCCTGTTGCTGTGTAAGCACACTCAAAAGCTTTATCTGAATGCTTGATGACATCATTGGAGACATTTTAAATGCAGGGGATGCTTCAACTCTGACATCTAGAGATCTTCCTGAGTGACCATCCGCTGGGCTCAGAAATTGGTTTATAATTTGCTCCAACTATTACCTTTTCTTTTTGTTTCTCTAAAAGTGCTTCTTATTAAATACCTGGTTACTTGCTTACACAATATAGGCCTAACTTTGGGAGACACTTTCTACGTTCCAAAGATGATCCAAAAGACCAGGAGGGAACTCAAACTAAGGAGTTAAATGTTGTCAGATGTTCCTCTGCAAGATCTTTGTTGTAGAGACCGGATCCTATTAAAATCCTGGACTTCATACCTGCTGGAAGGGACCATATGAGAAACGCCACAGGGAATACGAACTATGCCATAAAAAACATCACAACTGGGTTCAACCAAACCTTGGAAGCCTTCAAACTCCAGACATTGACTTCTCTGAATGGTCAAATGAACCCATGACAGAGCGCAAGTTGCTCTTCAAAAGATAATCTCCTAAAGATAAGTAAGAAATGACTCCCAGGTTCTTACCTTATTTGTTGGACTATTAGACAGCAGCCTGCATCAGATTTCACCTGAGGTTCTAGGCACTATCGTTAACTGGTTTACAGGCCTCTTCTCCTACATTCCCCAAGGATTGAGGCTCGTTATAGAGGGGATATTAAAATTTGGGTTCCTATTTTGCTAATCTGTGTGGTCATCTATATAATCATAAAATGTGAACTGAAGTGTTGTTCCAAAGCCATTGATAAGAGTACTAAAAAATTAGTCATTCAAAGCATATCTCGCTTTTCCCACCTGGTACCCAAAAATATTTTAAAATAAAGGTGAAACAGTTTCATTCCTCTGACCCTAATCTTTACTGGTTTACAAGCAGGAAGTAGCTAGAGCAGTCATCACCCTCATTCCCCAAGATTGAGGAACAATCATAAGGCAGTGGGGATTGAAACCGAGCACCAAGAAGTTAAAAATCTTTCCTAGAGCGAAAAACTTTGAGATAAGCTTTGCTAACTGCAGTTGTGCATATGTAGGATAATAAACTGTTGTTTTAAAATATCAGATCTTTCCATGCCTTAGTATATGAGTGAGCTGTGTTTCCCAAGAAGTCAAGGTCCAGACATCAAGATTCAGCCTCACAAGGCCAAACACAGGCTGAAGATGAAAACTAACCAGAAAAGTCCAGTCAAGGAAAAAGAAATTCAGTTTTCCAGGCAAAACAAAGAGGAAAACCAACCAGAAAAGTCCAGACAGTCAGAGGAAAGAAATTCAGTCTTCCAGGTGAAATGTAGGCTGGTGGGAAGGTGCCAACCAGCAAGGCCACAGGCTCTCCCTCCCCTACTGAAAACCTCAGATAAAAACCCCTACCTGTTTCCCTTTGAGGAGGTGGATCTGAGTTTTAATTCCCATCTCCTCATCTGGCTGCCTTTTGATAGTAAAGCTCTTTCCTTGCCACAAGCTTGGTGCTTCAGTGTTTTGTTTTTTTTTTTTTACTGACCTTACTATGTGGCAGGTAAACGAACCTGTGTTTGGGTTCGGTAACAGTTCAACATCCACAAATCACTCAATGTGATATACCATATTAACAAAATGAATGAAAATCACATGATCATCTCAATACATGCAGAAAAGCATTTGACAAGATACAGCACCCATTTATGATAGAAACTCTGAATGGGTATAGAAGGAAAGGACCTCAACATGATAAAGGCCATATATCACAAACCCACAACTAACATCATTCTCAATGGAGAAAAACTGAAAGCTATCCCTCTAAGAACAGGAACCAGACAAAGATGCCCACTTTCATCACTCTTACTTCACATAGTAATGGAAGTCCTAGCCAGAGCAATCAGGCAAGAAAAAGAAATAAAAGGGACCCAAATTGGAAAGGAAAAAATGAAACTGTCACTATTTGCATATGACATGATTTTATATATGGGAAACCCTAAAGAATCCACTAAAAAGCTTTTAGAAATAATAAATGAATACAGTAAAATTGTAGGACAAAAATTCAACATACAAAAATCAGTTGCATTTCTATATACTAATAAAGCAGCAGAAAGAGAAATTAAGAATACAATCCCATTTACAATTTCAACAAAAAGAATAAACTCCCTAGGAGTAAACTTCACCAAAGAGGTAAAAGATTTGTACACTGAAAATTATAAAACATTATTGAAAGAAATTGAAGACACAAAGAAATGGAAAGATATTCCATGCTCTGGGATTGGAAAAATTAACATATTTAAAAATGTCCATACTTCCTAGAGCAATCTACTGATTCAATGCCATCTCTATTGGTCTCAATGACATTTTTCATGGAAATTGAACAAAGAATCCTAAAATTTATATGGAATAACAAATGACTCTGAATAGCCAAAGGAATCCTGAGAAAAAAGAACAAAGCTGGAGTTATCACACTTCCTGATTTTAAAATATACAAAGCTATAGTAATCAAAACTGCATGTTAGTGATACAAAAACAGACACACAGATCAATGGAACAGAATCAAGAGCCCAGAAATAAACCCACACATCCATGAACAGCTAATTTTTGATAAGGGAGCCAAGAACATACAATGGAGAAATGATTAAAAGGATCTGAACATAGATTTTTCCAAAGAAAACATACAGATGGCCCACAAGAACATGAAAGAAGTCCAACATCACTAATTAGGGAAATGCAAATCAAAACTACAATCAGATATCACTTCATGCATGTCACAATGGCTATAATTAACAAGACAAGAAATAAGAAGTGTTGGAGAGGATGTGGAGAAAAGGGAACTCTCATATACTGCTGGTGGGAATGTAAACTCCTGCAGCCACTATGGAGACTTCTCAAAAAATTCATAGAACTACCATATGATCCAGCTATTCCACTTCTGGGTGTTTACCCAAAGAACACAAAAACATGAACGTGAAAAGATATTTGCACCTCTATGTTCACTGCAGCATTATTCACAATAGCCAAGACTTGGAAACAACTTAAGTGCCCATCGCCGATCAATGGATGAATGCATACAGAAGAAGTGGTATATATACACAATGGAATACACTCAGCCACAAACAAAGATCGAATCTTGCCACTTGCAACAACATGGATGGACTCTGAGGGTATTATGCTAAGCAAAATAAGTCAGACGGAGACAAATACCATACGATTTCAGTCATGAGTGGAAGATAAAAACAACAGCAACAACAGACACACACATAGATACAGAGATAGACTGGTGGTTACTAGAGGGGAACATGGGAGGGAGGAGGGTGAAAGGGGTAATAAGGCACATGTGTATGGTAACATGGTAATTAGTCTTTGGGTGGTGAAGAACATGAGTCTACATAGAAATCGAAATATAATGACATACACTTGAAATTTAAATTAAAAAATATTTGAACACAAAAGAAACATGAGAATACTTAAAATAACTTCAGGAATAGCTTCTAGCAACTTGTTTCTGATATTTAGCCATTTTCTCCCCTAAATCTCTTTAGTTCTCTACATATTTCAGTGCATCTAGTAACATTAAGACGAAAGCCTGAATTATTCAATAACGGTCTTTCACACTGACTCTCCTTTCAATAGAAAGATGGCTTCTAAGTATAGAAACACTATTGTGAAGTGTACAGGTTTCAGAGAAAGCATGACCCTGATGACACTGATTTCAGACTTCCAGCCTCCAGAACAGAGAGACAATAAATTTCTGTTGTTTTAATCCACTCAGTTTGTACTATTTTGTTTCGACAGTCCTGGAAAAGTAATACAGATGTAACATTTAATACAGTTCTCTATTATCAGATTACTTAATGACTAGTGACTTAAAACTAAAATTTGGAAAAGATTTTTAAACAAATGGACATATTAATCAGATCCTAAGAAATGTCCTATAGTCAATGTGGGAGCAGTGATTTTGGTATTCTTTTCATGTTATTAAAATACTATAAATATGGGCATCACTGCAGGCCATGTGAATATTCATGGAAAAATTAGAAGATACATATGGGAGTTTGAAGTGTTTATCGAATACAATTTACACTCAAAACTGAATAAAATTTTTATTTTAAAACATCACAAATAATTACAAAGATAAATGTCTCAACTGTACAAACTTGTGTGTATGTGTGTTCATATACACACACACGTATTTAAACTTTGCTTCATCTTTCATCTTTTTATCTGAGTAAAAAGAAGAACACTTTCCTCATTCAGGAGATTTTTGATGTTGTAATAATTACCTAGAAGTGATAAGAAAATAAAACAAAATTATTTCCATAGGAATCATTTCCTTTTGATTAAAAGTTTAGCAATCACTAAGGTAGTTACAGCATATAGTACCAAAAAAATAATCAATTCATCTAACCTAAAGTAACTTATTTAATTCCACAGGAACTGAAAAATCCAAGAGATAACCACCACCCATGACGCAGATAAGGCTTAAAAGAATGTAAATTTCAGGGGCCAGCCCAGAGTCACAGCAGTTAAGTACACGTGTGCTCCGCTTCGGTGGCCCAGGGTTGGCAGGTTCGGATCCCTGGCGCGCATCAACACACAGCTCGTCAGGCCATGCTGTGGCAGCGTCCCATATAAAGTAGAGGAAGATGGGCACGGATGTTAGCCCAGGGCCAATCTTCCTCAGCAAAAACGAGGAGGACTGGCATCGGATGTTAGCTCAGGGCTGATCTTCCTCCCAAAAAAAAAAAAAAGAAATGTAAATTTCACATCATTCTGATAATAAACGCAAAGATGAATTAAACAAAGGTGAAGGGAGGGAAAATCTCTCTCTGTACCTAATCACTATTAGGTCTTTGGAACTGCTATGGATTCCTCTAAACCAGACACATGCATATGCAGGCAAGTACAAAAGGTAAAATAGTAAGTAACATAAAATCTCAAAGTTACCACAGGCAAATGCTACTCTTAAATAAATTAGGTAATAAATAGCAAAAGTTCAATACAGATGGACAGCCACACATAAAGCAGGTTTATAGCACTGAGTACCATACTGTGACTTTTTATAAATTAGAAATTGATACATATTAACATTAGCTGAGTTAAAGCATTCACAACAGCGTTGGTACATACAAAGGACTATATAAACATAGCTATTATCTCCTTTCATTAGAATGTAAGCTCCATGAGCACTGGGATTTTTGCCTGTCTTGTTCACTTATGTATCCCACACTCTTACAGCAATGCTTGGTAGACTGTCAATAACATCTGTTGAATGAATAAATGAATGAATGAACAAATTAAAATTCCTATTTCCAAAGACTTGTGCTCTTCAATAGCTGATGAAGCACATTATTCTGTATGTTTAAAGTAACCTATTAAAAATTGTTTGAGGGGCCGGCCCTGTGGGGTAGTGGTTAAGTTCAGCATGCTCCCATGGGTTCGGATCCCAGGCACGGACCTACACGACTCGTCAGCCATGCTGTGGTGACAATTCATAAACAAAATAGAAGAAGACTGGCACAGATGTTAGTTCAGGGCTAATCTTCCTCAGCAAAAAAAAAAAAAAAAAAAAAAATGTTTGCCTACATGATGTCTTTGAGATAATACAGGGTGAAATAATTTTCCTTCTACCCTGGATATAAGATATCTTCTAACTAAATATTTTTATATTTAGCAATAAACAACTCTTGTTCAATTTGCATGTATCAAAACATAAATATACTTACCTAATGATAAAATTAAAAGAAAATATATACCAGACTTCTTTGGCATCAGTCACATCATGCTTCATTTTGACCACTGTGATTTCAATTTTCATGGTGCTCATAAGCAACTATATAAATATTTAACTATGTGAAAGAAAATGTCTTTAATTATTCTTACCTGAAGGAACATAGAAGGAATCCCCAGTTGTTATCATATAAGGTGTTTCATGTAAGGTACACAAAAGCTCACCAAAGTTAACATAAAAAACCTGTAAAATTAAAAATTAAAATCTCATTTCATATTGAACCGTCACAACTACTACACTCCAAAGAAACTTAAAGAAAATGTGGTAGGCAGAATAATGGCCCTCCAAAGACGTCCACACTCTAATCTCCAGAACCTGTCATAGCAAAAGAGACCTTGAGAGGGGGAGATTATCCTGTATTATCCAGGTGGGCCCAATATAATCACACAAGCCCTCAAAAGTGGAGAATTTCTCCTAGAAGCAGAGGAGAGATCAAGCAGAGAAGAAGTCAAGAGAAATTCAAAGCATGAGAAGGACTTGTGCTATTGCTGGCACTGAAGGTAAGAGGGCCACGAGACAAGGAATGTAGGCTCTTTCTAGAAGCTGAGAATAACACCCTGGCCAACAGCCAGCAAGAAAATGGGAACTTCAGTCCTACAACCACATGGAACTGAATTTTGCCAACAACCGGAATGAATTTGAAAGCAGATTCACCCTTGAAAGCAGATTCACCCTAAGAACCTCCAGAGAGGAATGGAGATATCCCAACATCTTGATCCAGCCTTGTGATTACTTTAAAGTCAGCCTAGCCTGGGGCCGGCCCTGTGGCGTAGCGGTTGAGTGCATGCGCTCTGCTGCTGGCGGCCCGGGTTCGGATCCCAAGTGCGCACTGACGCACCGCTTGTCAGGCCATGCTGTGGCGGCATCCCACATAAAGTGGAGGAAGATCGGAACAGATGTTAGCTCAGGGCTGATCTTCCTCACAAAAGAAATTAAAAATAAAAAAAATAAAGTCAGCCTAGCCTGCCAGACTTCTAACCTATGTAACCGTGAGACAGTAAAAGGGTACTGTTTGAAGTCACTAAATTTGTGGTAATTTCTTCAAGCAGCAACAGAAAACTAATACAGGAAGAAATTTCTTTCATTTTTCCTTATTATTTACTGGCTTATGAAAATTCAAAACCACTGTAAAGAATATCACTTAGCTATACTAGAAAAATAGCTAGGTTGTACATAATACCACTCTTTAACGGTTACATGCTTGGGACATGTAACTCAATCTGACTGATGAATCAAAAAGAGAACAAATAGCAAAAACAAAATCACGTATTTAAACAAGCATCAACATTAAGAAAGTAAAAAAGGATAAATCTCTAAGTCATATAGGCCTCCATATTAAAATATAGCAAATTTTACATTTTATAAATATGTAGCACTCTGGCAATGATCTGTTTTTTGGGCAACTAAATAAAAAATACAAGGCCTTCAAACTTTGAGATTCAGCCATCAAGAATTTTGCCTCAGAGAATCATTCCTCCTCCTCCTCCTGCCTCTTTTTTTTCAGGAAGATTGGCCCTGCGCTAACATCTGTTGCCAATCTTCCTCCTTTTCTTTTCTTCTCCCTAAAGCCTCAGTACATAGTTGTATATGATAGTTGTATATATGGAATGCCACTCCAGCATGCCTTGATAAGCGGTGAGTAGGTCCGTGCCCAGGATCCGAACAGGCACACCCTGGGCCACCGAAGCGGAACATGCGAACCCAACTGCCATGCCCCTTCCTCTATTTTTTTCCTTACCACATGGTAAAATGAACCCATAAAAAAACAGAAAAACAATAGCAGCTAGCATTTATACAGCACTTACTCCATGCTAGCCAGTCTTCTGAACATTTTATTTTTATTCATTTTATGTATGTACCTACCAGTGAGACATATTATTTTAATAGCTTTTCACAGATGAAGAAAATGAAGCACAAAGGGGTATAACTTTCCAAGGTCACACTGTAAACAGCAGAGCTAGAGTTTGAACTCAGGCACTTTGATTCTAGAATTCGTGTTCTTAATCACTATGATATACTAACTCCCTAAATGGGAAAAAAGCTCTTAAAGTGGTTCTAAAGGTACTTTTATAGTTTAATAAAACAAAAAATTTTTTATTACACCCCAAAAAAATTTGACTCAATTTAAAAGACAAAAGGTAACAAACACACTACCCAGAAAGTCAGGCATATATTTCTAGGTGTTTCTTCCTTACTTATTCAGTTTGGCTCTCCAAACACATCTCTCCCAACTTTTGCAAACATTTTAAGAAGAAGGCTTTTGAAATACACAAAAATAGAATGATGAATTCCCATGAATATCTTACACCAACAACCTGCTCTATTCAGAGTCTCTCTACTTCCTGCATATTAGTTTGAAATAAATACCCAGCATCATAAATCATCTGTAAATATTTCAGTGCATAGTGAAAAATCAAGGCACTTTTTAAAAACATGACCACAACACTGTTATCACATCTAAAACTAAATAAATATTTAATATGAAATACCCAATTTTCTAATTTCCAATTGTCTCCTAAATGTCTTATTTTTTTTTTTTTTTTTTTATTGCAGTAACATTGGTTTATAACATTGCAAAAATTTCAGGTGTACATCATTGTACTTCTATTTCTGCATGGACTACATCATGTTCACCACCAAAATACTAATTACAACCCATC